AGAGAAGGACACGACTGAGGAGCAGTATATAATGGGCGGCGTGGCCAGCGCGGTGGACTCGGATGGAAGGCGCCTGACGCCTGGCTCTGGCTTCCGATTGGTCAACAAAGTCTGTTCTGTTGTACCGGTCTTCTTCCTATTAGAGCTCGGGTATTCCACGCTCAATTCTGCCAAGTGATTTGTCAAAAGACATGTCTACAGGATTCGAAAGTGTTCAGGAAAAATAAAGCACTAAAATCAAAAATTTAAAACGATAAAAAAAGATCCTAAATTCAATTGAAAAAAAAAAGTTTTTCTACTTATTAAATAACAGCTTGTGCAATGGTCATGACCTGAGCTTATTCAGCCAAATTTTACTAACTCTTAATTTTTCATATTTCCCCCAAATTATTAGCCACATGCAGCGCATTATTAAAGCGCTATGCAAACTATGATGTATAAAGCTGCCCTTGAAGTTTCAAAGTAACAAAACATTAAAATACACAATCCGTCACAATACTTTGTTAGACGAATTCGATTTGTATTTCATAATTGCAAAATTTAGGCCAACTGACAATTCTTTGATGTTATTACAGAGTACTATAAGTTTTTCTTATAGTTACTTCCTTGATACCTTTTCAGGTACTTATTTATTGATTCGCAGTTCCCGAAGACCCGTCTTTTAACCATTGCGCTGTGTTGTAATGTTTGTTCTCAAATCTTTAATTCTCGTTTTTCTTAACATTCCCATGACTATGCCGAAAGATATTATTTATTTCTGCATTTTAGAACTTTTTTTCGACCGAGTAAAAATAATTGATCATTTCTGTTGAAAAACCAACATTTTAGCACCTAAAAATGTGTTTTGCGTTTTTTTTTTGAAAAGCCATTCAAATGCTCATATTGACATAGCAGGTTGTTTTATTATATTTGCATTTGCGATTGATTCGTTCCATCTGAATAACTTAATACTAAACATTTTTTGGTTATATTATACAATTATTTTCTGAAGTTGTTTAATTCGTTGAGTTCTGGTCGGTGAATTCATTGTTATTGTGTCTCTGTACTTCTGATGTTTGCATTCATCTGTCTTTGAATTTGCTAAAATTGAAGTGGTCCGTTGGACTTTCGGCCGTTGGAGTACCTTCTGAAGGTCATAGCGAAAAGTCTGCTTGGATTTCATGCCCACTCACATTCTTTGTTTGTCTACCTTTTTTGATTTTGAAGTCTTATTCGTATTAATGCCGCGGATTTACAGTGACCTTTAGCGCAAAATAGTCTGAATTGTCTCACTATGACTAGCTTCCCAAGGAATTTATTTAATCGAAGGTTCTTATTGGGAACATTTGTAATCCTCCTGTCCATTTATATTGTTTTCTCTTATCTAATGCCTTTAAGGCATACCAGATTGTCCATGTTCCACACACAGCCCCACAGATTCGTTGTATTTAACAGAATTCCAAAGTGCGGGAGTACATCTCTTGTCAGGATCTTTGAAACATTAAGTCCTCGAAATAAATTTAGAGTCATTAGATTCAATACGACAAACCCTCACCAGTTTCGAAGTTTAGTGCTCCATCAAGCATTCGTCGACGAAGTAACCCGCTCAGCCGTTTCCACGAAATTATTTGTCCATGGACACTTCTATTATGTCAACTTCCGACAATTTGGTGTTTCGTCAGAGTATGTTTATATAAACTGCCTGCGAGAACCCCTTGAAAGACTGGTCTCCAAGTACTACTTTATGCGGTTTGGCGATGATCATCGTCCAAAAGTTATCCGAAGCCGAATGAAGAATGACACAACCCGCTGGCAGACTTTTGATGATTGTGTTCGGCTTTCTGGCGACGATTGCGATCCAAGGCTCCTTTGGGTTCAAGTCAGTATCTTAGTCCTACGTAATTTTTTTTAATAATCTCGACTAGTGTAATACTTCTTCGATAATTTGATTTTAGATCCCATTTTTTTGCGGTACTGCTGCGTACTGCGACGTCCCAGGCAACCGAGCTGCTCTTGACACAGCGAAACGTCGCCTGGTCGAAGACTACCTCCTAGTGGGCACGTTAGATTACTTCAAGGAATTCGTCCAATTACTCCGACATCTATTGCCAGATTACCTGACTGGTATTACGTCAACCATGGATCTGGAAATCGGTGGCCATCCACTGTGGCACCTTCGCAAGACCCAAAACAAAATTCCTCCCAGACCAGAGACTCTGGCTGTCTATCAGAAAAGTCCCATTTGGCAAATGGAGCAGGAATTCTTTGAATTTGCTAGAGCAGAATTCCTCGCCCGCTGCCGACATTTAAAACAATTTCTGCCCAATGAAACAATCTGGAATACGATTCTGATTGATGTAACTTAGCTCCGTGACACATTTGCTTGTATTTTTTTGTATATACACTGCCAGAAAAGAAGTCACATCAGTCTCTGCGTAATAATACTTTTTTTCGAACCTCATGTAGCAGGAGTTTGCACCAAGAAGTAAATTTCACGGTTAATGCGTGTAGAAATGCTCCTACAAGATGCGCAGTTAAAAACAACGCAATAATTTGGTCGTGTTTAGGTTAGAAAGAAGCATGCAACTGTTGACGGAGGTTCCCTTCACCCTCGACACGATTAACACAGTACCTTGAAGGGTTTGGTTTCACCACTGAACTCCAGCATCCCATGGCCGAAGACATTGGCGGTTCCAAAATGACGAATTCGGTAAGTTCCCGGCTCGCATTCTCCGGAGAGCGATCTAAGAGACCACTGGACTTCAACGACGTGGAACCACAGAGGAAGAAATCCAATGACGCGCCTCCATGAGAATCTGGTGTGGAAATGTTTGATGGCGAGTTAGAGACATGGCTCTCATAATGTGCGTTTTGTACTAACAAAAAGCGAACTTTGTCTCCCAGTCAGAGTCCGAAAAGGCAGCTTTCCATTGGCCAGATGGCAGGCGCTTCTCCACTACAAGGTAGGTCCTGTTGGTGCGTAGGTTGTTCCTGGGGTCCCCACTCACGAAGCTCGCTTCCACAACCTCATTCGGCTGTTGAGAAGAAAACAGAGAATGTCTTTAGTACTCCCTCGGTGGACTGAAGCCAAATTCTCCGCTAATGTCATCGTGCATCCCAGTTGTCTCGTAACCCTACTTGTTGTGGTTTGCAAAGTCGCCTAACGGGGTCTATAACTGCTCTCCGGTGGTGTTTACTATCTCGCAGTCGGCGGCTTCTTAATGGTACCTGTCAATCTCAACCACATCTTTATTTCTCAATTGGAAATGCCCTATTCACCAATTTTCTAAAGACTTTGGAATCATCTCTGCCAATCCTTCAGTCCACGTGGAATACATCTGTCAAGCTCTAAGCTATTTGCATGTCGCGATCGTGCGGCAAGACGTTTAGTTAGGTTCCAACTACACAATACTTCTAGAATGGCTCTGCTTGGAGTCGTACGTCGTGGTAGACGTCATTGGGGGGTGTCCAGACGCTTCCAAATCTGTGAAATGGCGGATGGCTGTCGTAGAGGAGAGGCGAAGGAAGTCCAAAGAGTTTGTCCAATAGGAATGGAGGAGAGGGTCCGGGAGGTAATTGGTCTTTCTAGGTTGGAAAGAAAAGCGATGTCACCAGCGTGCATCCAGCTTGGACCGAAACTCGCGCATATCGACTAGCAAAATCTCTAAATGCGTATCCGCGTTATGCCCATATTTCAAATGTTAACAGTGTCATAGAACGATTAGAATGGAAGTAAAACCAGCATAACGGCCTTAACTGAATCAATCGGACATCGTTACTGATCTAATCTGGAAAAAAATAAGTGTCACTGTGTCATGTTTCTGTTACAATTTCGACCTCAATGCCAAATCTGTACTGATTAATACAGACAATGAGAGGGGATTGCCTTATGTGTGCAAACTTGTAGCCACGAAAATCCACCTTACACTGAGACAGTTTAGTCCCGTGCTTCTGCGTGGTTCATGACCTACCACGAAGTCCATGCGCGATAACGCATCATCGCATAGATTATTAAAATTTGGTGGGATATTTCCCAGGACGGGAAAACCCTAAAAATGAAAGTGACAGGTATTCCGTTTAACCCAAACCAAAAAAACTGTCAGACCTAAGCATTATTGCTTTTTTCAGTTTTCGCGAAGGGCTAAAGTTCAAATTACGCGGTTGTAAGCCAACCTATCAGAAACGCTTGGATTCTTACGGTGCAAAATTTGAGTTTGTGCGTTTTCATTTGCCATTTAGTTCAATATTTCAGTGTAGATTCACTCTAGGACCGTCTCTAGACACCTCTGGGCCAAACAGCACATAAACAAAACTGATTAGATGGCTAAAAGTCACCACAGGTTAAACCACCCCATAAATTAGCCAATAATATGCAACGACACGATCACCATTTGCTACATACGTTCACTAGAGATTGTGCCAACTTGGTAAATTGTTCGATGTAAGCCTGCAAGGTGTGTGGTCCAAATATTGTCGAGGCTCCTTCATATCGCTGAATCTGAAAAAAAGTGATCGAAAAGTCGCAGGTATTAAGTAAATCAAGGGCTACGATTCTACACACATGGTTAAGAACACTGACCTGATACTCTTCAAATGTTGTGACGTAATGAGTGTAGAGATTTGAAAGACCCGCCAACACTAGTTGCGTCCCATTGGGCAGAACCTGAAGAACCAATAGCGCTTGAGGACAGTCTTAGATAATGAGTCATAGTCATCCATTTCCCTCCATGGTAGACGGCAATGCGGGTTTTAAGGTTGGAAGTGCAAAATTTCGAAAAAATAAACGATGGTATCCCTGCATATATTGATCTGTGTTTAAGTTTTCTGATTTACTAAATGGTCAAAAGTTTCCAATTAATACAGTACACTGGCCTCCTCTTTAATCATTCATGCGCGTGGGCTTTTGTGATTGGTTGCTTGAAGAAAGTTAGCATGGCGGGATTGGTTAGGTGAAGGTCACTCACTTACATGCGACGTAGCCCGAATAATCCGCCTCCCGGACATGGTTGTGAATTCGCCCGGCAGACCGACAATCACCAACTGACCGATTTGAAACGCCTGGGTTTCCACAATGTTAGGATGCCACGGCAAGGGGAAATTCAACTAGAGAAAGATGGGCAAAAATAGTTATGTGTGAAATTAAACAAATTAAATGTACTTTCTTTGAAGCAGCCAGGTCTAGTAGATCTCGTGATTATGTCTAGTGTGCCAAACGGTTTCAATTTAGACGCAGTTTTGGTCTTTGAACTAGACGGTCAGTGATTGGTAGTTTGTCAGAACTGATTTAGTGCATGTTGATGGGGACTTGTGACTAATGACGCACCGTGCCTTGTAAGCGATTGGATGTTTGTGTTCATTTTGGATTCCACGGTCACTGCTGCACATATTGAGAGTTGCTTGCAAGTCAAAAACCCTTGCTGTATGACTTAATTATTGCAGGTATTTCAGCACATATTTTGCCACAAAAAATAGAGAACTATGAAATTAGTCTTGGAAATATAGTCCATCGATTTTTATGACCTTGAGCCTTGAACTGATTATCCAATAAGGCGTGCCGCCACATGGACCGGAACAAGTGATAGTCGAATGGTGCCGAGTCTGGTGGATATGCTGCGTGTGGGAGAACTTCTAACGCCACGTTTAGAAGGGTCCTCTGAGTCACGCGAACAACATGAGATGGTCTAGCGTTGTCATGCCGGCATCCTTGCCCAGTAAATGGCCTTTTTTGATCAAGTTCTGGAATCACCATCTGACCAATTTCCAGAAGTTCGCAATAAGCTACACCCCTCATGTCCCACCAGATTACCAGGAGAATCTTCTTCGGCGTCGATGAACGGGGTAACTCTGGATCAGAACCCACGACGTTTAACGTTTGTGAATCCCGTAAAAATATCTACCTGACATTACTTGCCACAATTCTCCACAAAAATTCCTTTTTTGTTGCCGGCGGGCATGCGTTTATAAGTCGACCTAAGCTGTGATGGGGCAACTTCTGTGGGACCCCATTTCCACGTTTTTGAATTTTTCACACTTGGTGCAAAAGCTCGGAAATGGCTGTTTGGGTGACTCCAAACTGAGCTGCAAGCTCTTGCTGCGTATGCGTTGAATCTTCATCTAGTAGAGCTTGCGATTCCGCATTTTCAAGCTTCCGAGGCTGCTGTAAGATCGAAATCAA